TCAATCGCCATGTCTAACCCACTGTCGCTATCGAGATAATTGGGAATCCCATCTCCGTCATCGTCCTCCAAATAGTCGGGTATACCATCTCCATCTTCGTCTCTTAAACTAGCCACCACCTTTTTAACCATCTTATTCGCCTTAGCCTTCCCAACCGTCTTACTTATGCCATTCGTCTTAGTAGTCCTTCCCACGTCATTAAGACTCTTTTTCACCTTTTTTGTGGCTTTTTTTGTTTTTCCCTCAAGATAATTAGGAATACCATCCCCGTCATCATCCTCCAGATAATCTGGTATGCCATCCCCATCCTCGTCCTCCAGAAAGTCAGGAATCCCATCTCCGTCAGCATCTCCTTCGAGGTAGTCCGGTATTCCGTCACCGTCCTTATCGCCCTTTATCTTTTTGGATGGTCTTGTTTTTCCACCCTTTTTCTTTTTATCTGCGTCGTCTTTGTCCAAATAATTCGGTATTCCATCTCCATCATCGTCCTCCATATAGTCAGGAATGCCATCGCCATCATTGTCCTCCAGATAGTCCGGCATTCCGTCACCATCGGCATCAATCTGTAAGTGATCTGGCACACCGTTGTTGTCAAGATCCAAACTAGACTCTCCTACATTGTCCCTATGCCAACGGTTGTCAACGCTATCGATAAAATCGGGAATACCATCATTATCGGAGTCTTCGAGATAGTTTGGAATGCCATCCCCGTCGTCATCTTCCAGATAGTCAGGAATACCATCTTTGTCCGCGTCCACATCATATCCAGGCAAATAGTCTGCGTCCTCATGATCGATTATGTCGGGGATTCCATCGCCATCGGAGTCTGGCGCATTCTCAAGAATGTCCGGGATTCCATCTCCATCCGAGTCGGGCATGCCCTCAAGCACATCAGGAATACCATTTCCATCCGAATCCTCCGCCTCCAGAAGATCCGGAATACCGTCGCCATCTTCGTCGGCAAGAAAGTCGATATCGTCATCGTCCTCATCATCAATATCCTCGTTTTCATCGCCATAATTTGCTAGCCTACGCTGAACCAGCGTACCCAGTGCTGGTGGAGCACTCTTATCTAAACTAACTAGCCTACTCTGAATAGACCCAACGCTTAAATCACCTTCTTCCCGCGACTTCATGGGGACCGATGTCTTCTTCGCTGCCGATCTGCTCGTCAGTGCAACGGGGGCCTTTTTTGCAAGTGATCTCGTTGCTGAACTGGCTTTTGCAGATACTTTGACCTGGGCTGATCGGGAAGTCGACTTTTTAGTTGGCTTAGCGACCTGTTCGTCGAATACAGGGTCCAGATAATCCGGTATGCCGTCACCGTCTGAATCTTCCTGATAGTCAGGTATCCCGTCCCCATCAGAATCTTCAAGAAAGTCTGGAATACCATCTCCATCTGAATCACCCTCTAAGCCATCGGGAATACCATCACCATCGCTATCTCCTATCTCTTTTTCTTCTGGCCTTGATTCCTCTTCCTCCTCTTCCTCCTCCTCTTCTTCAATCCCGCCTCCCTCCTCTTCTTCTTGGTTAAGCATTTTCAGTGTTCTGGCGGTCGGAGAGAGAGAGTTGGCCTCATGGTTGTAGGGATGAAGTGGATACCGGTCATGGGAATGTTGGTGGTGATGGTACTTTGGCTGACGAGATTCTTGATGGTGATGCTGAAAAATGCAAGTAACAAAAAACATGAATCGAACCATTTTTCTAAATAGTCTGACTCTTTCGCTGTTCGGAGCATTCTTTTCTGCTTATTAAAAGCATATTGCAGCAGTATTCTGGTGTTATAAACATAAATTACTCAGAACCAGGTAGAGTCAGTTTACTGTGGAAGTAGAAAGAAATAATAATAAGTATACTGACTCTTTGGATGCCTTGCTCTTTCTCTCTCTCAATTGAAAGGGAAAAGCATGAAGCCTTGAAGATGAAAAGGATGATACAAACACAAGTTTTGTTAAAACAGGTTAATACGGATATATTGTCATTGGAGAGCATGTAGATACGAGTGCAGGCAGAAAAGGAAAAGTAGTGGGAAGGAAATAGAAGGGCGGGCATGAATAGTGCAGTAGAAAATAAGGAATAAGCAGGCCAAAGCTGAGTGTGGCGACATGACTGTCTGTTATGACTTGCAAGGAAACATAAGTGGAGCTTTCACTTTAATCTGGCGTACACAACTGAATGGTGACCTGGTAAATGCTTCATACAGATGAGGAAGTTATTCTTATTCTCATGAAGCAAACATGTGAGGCCTTGTAAAAGACGTAGCAAAGCCAAATAGGAACACAGGCATCGAGACTCTAATTCTTGAAATATCCTAAAAGTGTAATTTGATTTCCCATCAAGGGATGAAGCGGAGATAAGTGTCCGTATAGGCTCATCTCCAAAGAAACACTACCCTTACGGTGCGATTAGCGCGAACCGTATGAATTCGGGATGGGAAAGGAAAATCGGTGTTGCTAAGAGGATTGTTGGTCGAGGA